AAATAAATCTAAATAAATGCCACTTGTAGTCCAGAACACGTGGTACCGTAAAGGCTGAAAAAGCTGCAGCACTTCGTGAATTACCGTGAATGATTTGATGCAGCGCAGCTACAAACACAAAGGATTCTGTTCAAATAACGAGCGTGGGTCCGTCTGAGAGTTCGTGCAGCTCTAGTTTCGTGTCCTCGTAACGTTTCTGTCCGTGGACTGACCATCAGGAAGACTCTCCACTCACGTGTCCTTCTGGTGAGAAGGTGCACCAGTTTGTAGACGGTGCGTTCACTTGACCTGGTTTCTGACCTGGTTCTGGTCGACAGACGTGCCTCTGTGACTGATCGTGCCCGTGCAAAGTTCCATTAATATTTAATTCATCAGCAGATGTTGGCGTTGAATAATCCACGACTGAAAACAGGAGTTTGTTGTTTTACGTGTCAGAAGCGACTGGACTGGTTTGTGCCGATGGTTTCCTGTAAAACGGTTTCAAATGGACGGTTCTTTGTTTTGTTGAAAATGTAACGCGCCTCGTCTTTCCGCAGCCTGAAGTCCTCAGCGCCCAGTTTGGTCACATGACTCTACAGCAGCCGCCTGGTGACGGCGCAGCCCCCGATGGCCGCTACCCCTCTGTGTTTAGCCCCCACCCCTCCCCCGTGGTGCTGCAGGGGGCTCCTCCGCAGCACGTGACGGGCTACGTGGTGGCGGGCCCATCAGGAGGACACCCGGGGGTGCTGCAGGGTCAGCACGTCTCGCTCCCAGCCTTAAACTCCACGTACCCGAGCGCGGGCCCCGCCACGTTCCCCGCGCCGCTCCTCCAGCAGCACGCCTACGTGCAGCAGGTAGGCCGGCTCATTTCACGCCCGCTCGTGCGAGTCGAGCTAATCTGTGACTAATCCCACGAATCAAACTTTGAATCGCAGATGTGCTACTGCTCTTCAGCCCACCACCCACAGTGCTCCAACCAGCAGCCGCAGTACCGACCCCCCATCAACCAGCTCGCCTATAATTGCCCTCCGAGCCAAAACCTGCCCCAGCAACAAGGTACCGACACAACACCCCCATGCCTTCCTCTTTTCCTCCACTCGGATCATTAACCGTTTTATCTCCTCGCCAAACAAACCGCAGTGCCTTTGATTTAAAAAGGTTTAAAGCCGGGCTGTCCAAAGTGTGGCCCGTGGGCCATTTGCGGCCCTTGGAGTGATTTTGTGCGGCCCGTGACTGCACTTTAAGAACGGTATAATTTTGTCCAAAGAGGTCGATGCAGATTTTCTTCAGATTAGCCGGTAATCTTTTTTTTATATAATGTTTAGGTTCAAGATAAAAACTGATGAAAAACAATCTTCTCACAATTAATCAAAATATAAACCTTTGGTGATAATCTTGTTATTTTCACTTCGTGGTACAAAGCACCTTCACTGGTTTCTCCCAGAGAGGAGACTTTTAATTAATGATTCCTAAAACTTGGCTAAATGTTTGTTGATAAAATAATCAAGACTGGACATTTTTAGATGAATATAACGTGTTATCATCTGCATACGAGTTGATCAGTTTTATCAAACCTTTATGAATCTGTTGAAGCGACGGACATCTGGACGATTTTCCAGAAATTCAATCAGCCTTTTGGGTTGTCCACGGTCCAAGCGGCTAGGGACGGACGACATTATCGGCATAGTATCGGCTGATGTTAGTGATAAAGTTAAATATCGTACATCGGCCGTTCCATCAAAATGACTCCGATATAAAAGGTGCTGTTTTTGTGTGACAACCCAGTGACAAGGATGCCTGCAGCGCACCTAGGGGTGCACGATAAATCGATTTACCCGAGATTTACAGATTTAATGGTCCCGATTTCTTTAATTTTGGGAGATTGGCCGATACTTACACGAGCAAACAATAATTGTGTAAACTTCATTTATATTTCAGAGCACTACTCATGGCCAGTTAGGATATTGTTCAAGGGTGTTTTTCAGTAAAATGATGTTGGAAGATTGAAGGTGCATGGTGACCTTATATCACCTGACTGTCGCTTATAAAATCGACCAAAATCAGAATCGGCAGGTCAAACTTTTCAGAGATCGTGATCGGCCAGAAAACTGCGCCAGTATGACATCACGCGTGCCCACGTGTGTCATGAATAAATGTGACATTAACATAATCAAGTTGAAGCATCTGCATCTGGTAACAGGCAAACTGACAAAGACCTGCAGAATAATGTGGTGTTTTAATTCCACAGCAGAGAACTCTATCTAGTCTAGGTCTAGGGGGGAAATATCGGTATTGGTATCGATTATCGGTTATCGGCCAAAAATCCAATATTGCGCATCCCTAAAACAAACCCCCTTTACAAGGACTTGTTCAAATTACACTGTTGTTGCTGAGAACAGACTAAAATGAACCCAACATACCCACAGACCCAACAACTCAAATCCTTTTTAATAAAAAATATAAGCTTAGTTTTGAGACTTATATTGTTTTGGATCTACAACAGTTTAAAACTTTTTCTTAGTGAATTTGTGGAGTTAAATTCACGTTTTTTGTGGCCCACGAGTCCTTTCATCTCGATAGTTTTGGTCCACAGATGAAAAAGTTTGGACACCCCTGGTTTAAAGTCACCTGGGTGCTGTTTTCAGTCCAAGACCAGATCTACAAACGTCTCAAAGCTTTGAGTTAAAACTTTTTACAAATCAGATCAAAGGCAGTTTAATAAGACTGATGTCTGTCTCGCTTCATGTTGTTCAGAGAGAAGCTGCAACCCTCGGCTGAACGTGTAGCTTCTGGAGCTCTTCGGCTGAGCGTGTAGCTTCTGGAGCT